GTGAAGGTGACCCACAGGTCCATGCTGTCTTTGATTACCTTTTTCTGGGTTTTTGTCATAATTGTTTGCCTAATTGCAGTTGGCCTTCTGACAAGACTTTCCTTTTGTAAATCTGTGGTTGTTAACAGCTATTTTTGTGACCATGGCCAGATATACCGGCTTGCATGCAATGACAACACTGTTAACGGAGTCGTTAGTAGCTTGCTAGTCATTCTCATTGTCTGGTTTCCACTGATATTTATCTTGTTTAGTTATTCATATATTGCCTATGCATTATCTAAAGTAGCCACATTTCAGGGAAGAGTGAAGGCCTTTAAAACCTGCACAGGTCATCTTTCATTAGTGGCAATCTATTTCATCCCATTATTAACCACATTTTCTATGGGATCAAATATACATCCAAATGCCAGGATCATAAACCTGTCTCTGACCTCGATCTTTCCTCCCATGTTGAATCCAATCATATATGTTCTGCAGACACAAGAAATTAAAGCGTCGCTAAAAAAATTGTTAAAAATCGAGAAGCAATCCAAAATTATGGTCAAGTAAGTATCAATGAAATGACCATCTGTGTATATTTTGTTTTGTAATTATCTATTTACAGTAAAACTAGTCATGAATTCAAAGTAGCATTTACATTTTTAGAATGACCCTTTAAATCAAACATGCTTTAAAAGACATTTCTGACATGTAACAGTCATCCTACACATCAGTCGACTCTACTCCACATGACTGACACTTTCATAGTCAAATTGTACATTTCTGCCTGTGTGATGAATGCAAAGAAAAACTGCAAACATGAATTTGTTATCAGGCTGTTTGTGTATGTTCTAATTTCAAAATTTGTATAAAAAACCCAAAAAAACCTGCCGTGGTGTTTTGACATGTTTATTTTGAGTGACTTGATGTTTCTATGTGGTGGTTTCTACATAATGACTATACAAGTAGATTTGTCACTGGTATTGTGCTAGGAGCTTTTATTCTTTGGCTTCGTCTTGCAAGCATCTTGTCTCATTACCTATTTATTACTATACTTTTGCTTAAGCAGCCACAGTTTAAGAATTAATAAAGGCCTGTAGAGCCTGTGAATGTCATGGTTTACTAGGGAACACACACCCAGACAGACACAGGTGTCCACACTTGTTGGCTGCTGATTAGGGTGCATATCAGTCACACACACACAGACAGACAGACAGACAGACAGACAGACAGACAGACAGACAGACAGACAGACAGACAGACACACACACTCACACACACACTCACACACACACTCACACACACACTCACACACACACTCACACTCACACACACACACACACATCAGGGGCAGAGGCAGGGGTTATGACAGTACCACCACCTTTAAGGGACGACTTCCTACTTTCTGACAGTACAGCTCATCTTTCCTTAGTAGAAATGTATTTCACCCCAATATTCACATTTACTATTATTTCCTGTTGACAAATTCTTAATTTTCTGTAATGGAATCATTGAGATACATGCATCTTTGTCACAAAAAGCACTCATGCATTTGGGTTTCTTCAAATATGACAAAATCTGCTTGATCAAAATACGCGTACAGCAATGCCAATATTTACTTCTTGGCTATTTTCACCTCAACTACATGCTTTTAGTAGCCACCCACAAACTTCTGGCAAGTTCCTGGTGGTGTGTTTGACCTCTCCTCTTAAAAGAATTGGTGCAGTTGAACTAAATTCATTGGCTTTCTTTCACAAATGTGTTTCTTTTACACAGTCCACAAGTTCTTGATGGGGTTAAGTCAAGACTTGAGGGAGGCCAGTCTAAGACCTTCATTTTAGACTGATTTAATCATTTCTGTACCACTTTTGATGTGTGTTTGAAGTCATTGTTTTGTTGGAATATCCAACTGCATCCAAGACCAGCCTTCTGGCTGATGATTTGGGGTTGTNTCTGTACCACTTTTGATGTGTGTTTGAAGTCATTGTTTTGTTGGAATATCCAACTGCATCCAAGACCAGCCTTCTGGCTGATGATTTGGGGTTGTCCTGAAGAATGCTGTGGTAATCCTCCTTCTTTATTATTTAATTTACTGTGTGTCAAGCACTAGTTTCACTGGCACCAAAACAGCCCAAGAGCATAATACCATCACCGCCATGCTTAACAGTAAGTATGGTACACTTGGGCTGAACGGCCTTCCCTTCTCTCTTCCAAATATGTCTCTGGTCCTTGTGATCAAATAGCAAAATCTTTGTTTCATTTGACCACAGAACTTTCCTCCAGAAGGCCTTTTCTTTGTCCATGGGATCAACAACAAACTTCAGTTGACTGTCAAGGTGCTGCTTCTGGAGGAACCACTGGTGCGTTTCATTCAGGTTGACCTAACGTTGTTGGTTGATGTGGTGCCTCCTGCATGCCGAAACAACAGCATGAGAGCTGTGAGAATGAACCACAACATCACAGTTGCACGCCAGCCTAATTGAACTGAAACTTATTTTAAACCATTGCTATTCATCGGTCTGAATAACGACAGACTGAAAATTCTGCTGTTGTATTTCGAACGGTATCAAACCTGTCAGAGTGATTGTCTGAAAGCACAAAGCTTTGCAGTTCAAATGAATGAAACCACTTTAGGATTGGATACCACAGCAACAATGGCAGCAGTAGTAATAGTTCCTTACTTTGTACTACACGGTGAAACCATAGTGTCTTACCTCTTCTGTAATTTATGGTGGCACATGCTTGTGGACTACCACGCCTAACAAGTTGTTTTTAATAACAAAAAATAGGATTGATGTTGAGGGGTTCCAATTCGGTAAAGATACTTTCAACAACAAACTAACTGAGAGGTCGTGCACCCCAATTCAGAATTAAATATCCAAAAATGCCTTATAGGTGCTTTGATTTGTGGCATTCATAACTGCAATTAGTTAGATGGAATAAAATAAACTTGATAATTAGTGGCTTACAATCAACAGACACACAGAAAAACCTTGTTTGTCAGATATACAGGAGGACTAAATCTTCTGGGAACTCCCTCTAGAAAAACAGTTAAAGGTTGACAGCTCTGTCACCAAAACGAGAACAGCTTCTTCCTCCACCTACACAAGACAACACAGTGCCGATGGTGATGCAAAGAAAGCGAATTTGAAGGAAATTGCTGTGCTGTGTGGATAGTTTCACAATGGAGCTATTTAACTCGGCTCTTGGAAAAAATATCACCTTTGTGCATCCTGCATTTTTCATAATCAGTGGTTTATCTGGAATCCCAAACATAGAACATTACTATGTCTTTCTCTTTTTTGTTTATATTGTTTCCGTGCTGGGAAACACAACTGTGATGGCTGTCATATGCTTGGATCAAAATCTGAGAACTCCAAAATATGTAGCAGTTTTTAACCTGGCATTTGTGGATCTGTTTGGGAACTCGGCACTAGTGCCAAAAATTCTTGACATTTTTCTGTTTAAGCATCACCACATCCCTTACAGTGACTGCTTGACGTTCCTTTTTTTCTGCTACACCTGTCTTTCAATGCAGTCATTTAATCTGATTGCTCTGTCCTATGACAGAATGGTGGCCATCATATTTCCTCTGCACTATCAAGTGAAGGTGACCCACAGGTTTATGTTTTCTTTGATTGCCTCTTTCTGGGTTTTTGCAATAATTGCTGTTCTTATTACAGTTGGTCTTCTAACAAGACTTTCCTTCTGTGAGTCCGTAGTTATTAACAGCTTTTTTTGCGATCATGGCCAGATATACCGACTTGCGTGCAATGACAATTTTTCCAATTATGTCATTAGCTTCTTGTTCCCAGTTCTTATTTTCTGGCTTCCTTTAGCTGTTATCTTGTTAAGTTATGTATATATTGTCTATACTTTGGCTAAAGTAGCCACATTTCCACAAGGACTTAAGGCTTTTAAAACCTGTACAGCTCATCTCTCATTGGTGGCGATGTACTTTATCCCACTGTTAATTACGTTTACCTTGATGGAAAAAATACACCCAAATGCCAGAATTTTAAACCTGTCTCTGACCTCTATCTTTCCTTCCATGTTGAACCCATTTATATATGTCCTGCAGACACGAGAAATCAAAGAATCTGTGAAAAAGTTACTGAAACTCAAAAATTTTGCAATACACTGTCATTTTTAGTGTTTCATTAGCAGTAAACTAATGAATGTAAATGGTAGAACTGTCCTTTCTAACATCGAACATGTTTATTTATTTATTTATTTTGTAACTAAGTATGAAGCAATCCAGCAATTATAATGTAACAAATTCAAAAACTGGGCGCATGTTTTGCAATGAGCATTAAAATAAAACGATTAATAGTGTTTTCAAAGGAAAGTGGTAATGTTTTGATAGAAAGGATGAAGGATGTACAACAAATCTGTTACAATAGTTGTATGAGCAGCTGTCAAGGTAATGCACAGAACCATCTTTGTCCTTGTGATAGTTAAAAGTAATGGTAGCACACAGTTTAAACAGATGTCTTAAAAAATGTGAATTACTTTTTTTGTGTCTCTTTTCTGGCAGGTGTGCATTTTCTGTGCATTTTTTCTGAAAGGTGTTTTCAACTTAAGAAAACATTGCATTTTTTTCATACTTCCACCTTATATTGAAACCAGGCAAACAGTCTACAGGCTTGCTAGGGAGCAGCTCCTTGACTTTGTACTCAGGCATCACGTTGTGTACCTTTTCCACCATCTCACCCTGGGGTTTTAGCTTGCTCACAGTGGCTGATGGCAATACTTTTGCAGGTGTTCAGTCATCAACCAAAAACATTGGACAACTTGAAAAATGTGATCTGATTGTGGTTCGTGGTGGCTTTTGGCTCTCTTTGGTATGAAACTTTATGTACTGTGATTATTTTTATCAAGTTCAATTTATTTGCCATTATAATCATAAAAAAATAAAGTTGAATTGATGTCCAAGATTTTTGTTCATCGTCTCCCCCATGATATCTCTTTACAAAACTTGAGATGGGCGCGATTAGTCGCTTAAATGATAAAAAGGTTCCGATCGTCACTAGTCAGCAACAGTAATAGCAATAAGTTAATTTAATTATTAATATTCTATAAATGTATAACACAAATTAACTGCTACATTTAAAATGCTGCACAGCCACCCACCAGTAGCAGGGGCTGTAGTCTGTCGGGGATGCACCTTAGACTGGTGGTTGTCATATTTCACTATCATGTGAAGGTGACCCACAGGTTCATGTTTACTTTGATTGTCTCTTTGTGGGTCTTTACAATAACTGCTGTTCTCTTTGCAGTTGGCATTCTTACAAGGCTTTCACTCTTTAAGTTTGTAGTGACCATGACCAGATCCACTTGCTTGCGTGCACTGACCATTTTCCTCGTCACTTGTTTCTTTTTCCTCAAGTTTTATCTTGTTAAGTTACCTATGGATTGGCTATGCTTTAATTCAAGTNTCAGAGGGCGATCCAAAACTACAGCAAAGAATGTAAAACATATTTAGCCTTCAACTTTGTACTGTGCAGTAACATCCACTGTAAAGTAATAATTTGGGATATTGTTCAGTAATACATGTAAAATGTATAATGTAAATAAAAAACATACACATGAACAAACATATGTATGTAGCTATCTTTACAACAAACGTATCAAGAAAAATACCTCAGTGCATCTTGCAAAATTCATTTACAAACTGTTGATTCTGTCCCCCCAAAATTTGAAAAGCAACAGCAGAAAAGCCAGCATGCTAAACGTCTTGTGTTTGTTTGTTGGTTTTGTCTCATTTTAGAAAATCATATGAACAGATAAACATGTTATTTTGTATTGCTGCTGTGCTTTTGAGTTGTATCTCATATAAAGGTAATGTAAAAGGAAGGCAAGCAAATCACTGTGATGTGTACATTTCCATTTTAAGTGTGAATGTTGGTATGTAACTGAAAATGTAATTACCAGCCTACAACAGCTAACAAAGCAAAGCTTTCAGTATAACAAAAACCATATTTAACTGAAAGCTGCAATTACATACAGATGTACTTATGAACATGTAAAATCATTAATTTAATAATTCATTCCAAATAGTCTAAGTAATTTGTTCACATCCTGTTTTTAAATCATTCTCATGTTTTACAGTGGCAGCAGTGTGTTTCTTTCTTATTGTTAATAGTTTGATTGGTTGTGCATATCACTGTGATGGTATTAAAACAGATTTAGAGTTTCATCATTATTGTAGAATTACCTTCTGTTCTTCAGATATTCGATGCAGAGTTATTGTGTGTGGTTGGTTGTCGAATGAGGAGGAAAACATGAGTCTTTAAGAAATACTTTTAAGACCCAGACAGCTACACAGGTCATACTCTTGTCCATGCTATAACATATGCTATTATATAAATCCTTTAAAAGGTGTGTGACAAGACATCTGTTCTCTAAAAATGCAAAAAAAATGATCACACTTTTCTACCCAAGACACATCTAATTATTACATTTTAGCTAAGAACACAACTTTGTATGCATGTTAATATTTTGATGACAATAAAGAAAGAATGATGATGGACATAATGAATTTTTCTAAAGAATTTAATTCGGAAAAAGCAACAGAAAGCGTAGATTATGTGGATTTTACGTTTTCTTGGTGGGATTGACCTGTATGTTCTTATTTCAAAATTTGTCATATGAGCAAAGAAGACCTGCCCAAGTGTTTAGTGTTTTACCTAGAGGGAGTTTTTTTTTTTTTTTTTAACCACAAAATGAGATTAAGACTTGATGTTTCTATACACTGGCTTGTACGCAATGACTATACATGCAGCTTTGTCATTAATTATGTGTTGCCAGATTTTATTCTGTAGCTTAATCTTACAGTAATTTTGTTTAGTTATCGATACAGTATATTGCTATGCTTTAACTTGAGCAGGCACATTTTAAGAATTAATGAAGACTTTTAAAACCTGGACAATATTCACAAGCTGTTGGCTTCTCAAAGCCAGTTTAATTACGGCTATTTGATACACTCATCAGACTCAGTCACAAAGTCTACAAAAAAGGAGTAGGTCTAAAGAGTTCAGTGCAGATCTGAAGTAGCAAATTAATAACTTGAACAAGTCAGGAAAGACAAATGCGCCAAAATCCTGTCAATAGATTGTGTAAAAGCAATAATTTCATGAGAGAACGAGAGAGAGAGCGAGGAGCTCACCATAGCCTACATAACAGAATCCAGCACTGGTATGTAGTGATGCTGTCTGAATTAGCAGTGCTTGGAAAGCATCGGTTTGACAGAAGTTAACAATGGACTTGTTCAACTCTGCTCTTGGTAAAAATATCACTATTATGCATCATGCATATTTCATAATTAGTGGATTTGTTGGCAATGAGCACATTAAGTATTTGTCAGAAAAAGGGGTTTGGGCTGTGTTGCTGGTGTGGTCCGTGACTACCTAAACATCTTCATGTCTGTTTATCTTGACGATATACTCATCTTCTCCAAGACCATCACTGACGATGAACGCCATGTCCGCCTCGCTCTGCAACGCCTACTAGGTAACTGTATGTGAAGGCTGAAAAATGCAAATTCCACAAACCATCTGTCACACTCCTTGGATACATCCTCGAGGGTGGGCAGGTGTGTACGGACTCCATAAAAGTCAAAGCAGTCGTTGAATGGACCACACCCTAGACAAGAAAACGGCTTCAACGATTCCTGGGTTTCGCCAACTTTTACAGACGCTTCATCAGAAACTACAGTCAAATCGCCGCTCCACTAACAGCACTACCAATACACCTTTCACCTGGACTCCAGATGCCGAAGCAGCTTTTCTAAAACTAAAGAAAAAATGTTCTCCCAAGCACCCATCTTACACCCCGACCCCATTAGCAGTTCATTCTGGAAGTAGATGCTTCAGACACGGGGGTCGGAGCTGTACTATCCCAACGCTCTGAGCCCGATAAGAAGCTCCATCTGTGTGTCTTCTTCTCCCACAGACTCACCCCACCTGAACGCAACTACAACGTGGGGGACCGGGAGCTCCTTGCCATTAAACTGGCCCTTGAGGAGTGGCGGCATTGGCTGGAGGGTACTGAACATCCCATGCTGGTTTGGACAGATCATAAAAACCTGTCTTATCTCCAGTCTGCTAAACGCCTAAATCCCAGACAATCCCGTCGGTCTCTGTTTTTCTTCCTATTTAACCTGTCCATTTCCTACCGTCCAGGATCCAAAAATATTAAGCCAGATGCTCTGTCCTGCCAGTTCTCCCCAGATGATGATGACAAGCAGGAATCAGCCACGATCCTACCTCCCAGTTACACCATCGGATCAGTCACCTGAGAGATCGAAGAAATCGTCACATGAGCACAACTGAAAGAACCTGACCCCAGACCACCTCCTCAGAACACCATCTACATCCCGTCTTCCGTCCATTCCAGATTAATACATTAGTTCCATTCTTCAAAGTTTTCCTGTCACCCCAGTTCCAGTCACACCATAGCTCTTATCACTCACAAATTCTGGTGGCCATCATTACACACAGATGTCCGAGAATATGTTCAAGCATGTCCCATCTGCGCCAGAAACAAGCCTACCAATCAGCCCCCTGCCGGTTTGCTTCAGCCCCTCGCCATACCCAAATGCCCCTGGTCACATATAGCCATAGACTTTTTTAACTGGACTACCCATCTCTCAAGGTATGACCACAATTTTCATAATAATCAATTGATTTTCCAAAGCATGTCACCTGGTCTCCCTCAGAAAACTGCCTTCAGCTCTCCAGACAGCCAAACTCCTCATAAAACACGTCTTCCATCTTCATGGTATCCCCCTTGAAATTCTGTCTGACCGTGGTCCCCAGTTCATCTCCCAGGTTTGGAAACATTCTTGTGCTGCCTTCGGTGCTAAAGTCTGTCTCACTTCTAGTTACCACCCACTGTTCAATGGTCAGACAGAAAGACTTAATCAAGAACTTGAAGCCACCCTTCGTTGTCTGACCTCCACGAACCCCTCAGACTGGAACCAGTACCTACCATGGGTTGAGTATGCGCATAGTTCACATATTTCATCTGCAACTGCTCTTTCTCCATTTGAAGTTTCCGTAGGCTATCAACCACCACTCTTTCCGTCTGATGAAAAGGAAATCTCAGTTACTTCAGTCAACCACCACATCCACCGTTGTAAACAGATCTGGACCAACACCATCGCAGCTCTCCATTACTTTGCACCCTCCTTCTGAGGCCCCTTAACCCGCCCGGGACATTGACGGGCACTCGGCTTACAACGTCCGACGGATTATGGCCTCTTGTCGGCGGGGTCGCGGGTACCAGTATCTCATCGACTGGGAAGGCTACGGTCCGAAGGACCATTCTTTGGTGCCCCATTCTGCCATCCTTGATCCTTCTCTCAACTCTGACTTTGAGGCTTCTTTGCCGTCTACGTCAGGTGTGGTTCCACACACCTACGATTCATCAGGCTCATTACTGGTTGCCAGTAACTCGGAGCCTGAGTGTTAAACTATGTGGTAACTTCAAGCCTCCTCTCGAGTTTTCCTTGTGTTACTTCCTGAGCTTCAGAGTAATTGTGTCTCTCCTCTGAAGGTTTCAACCCATTCCTCGCATATGGTTCCCCACGAACTTACCTGCGCTAAACCCGAGTCTCTCCGTCGCTTCCTGGATCATCTGGTCATGACTGGTAAATGCTCCTTCTTCTCTCCGTCACTCTATTACATTGACCTCCGTGCGACCTGTCTGCCCCAGCTGTCCACAAACCCACGACCTCGGAATCCGCTCACCTCTCCTTGGTGGTTCCACTTCTCATCTCCCAGCTCCCGGTTCCCCATGTAGACATCATAGCCCGGATCAATCTCATCATTGCACATTTCCAATCTTTGTAATAAAGACGATTTTTCTGACTCCATTTCTACTGAGGGATTCTCTGCATGTGGGCCAGAAGCTTAAACAAAACCATGACAGTATTACTATGTCTTTCTCTTTTTTGTATATATTGTTTCAGTGCTAGGAAACACAGCTGTAATGGCTGTAATATTGTCGGATCGCAATCTGAAAACTCCAAAATATATTGCAGTTTTTAACCTAGCACTTGTTGACCTATTAGGAAACTCTGCACTGGTGCCGAAGCTTCTCGATATCTTTCTGTTCAACCATTTTCTGCTACACTTGCCTTTCGATGCAGGCTCTAAATCTGGTTGTTCTCTGCTATGACAGGCTGATCACTATTACCACTATCACGTGAAGGTGACCCACAGGTCCATGCTGTCTTTGATTACCTTTTTCTGAGTTTTTGTCATTACTGTTTGCCTAATTGCAGTTGGCCTTCTGACAAGACTTTCCTATTGTAAACCTGTGGTTGTGAACAGCTATTTTTGTGACCATGACCAGATCTACTGGCTTGTGTGCAGTGACCATTTTCCTCGTCACTTGTTTCTTTTTCCTCAAGTTTTATCTTGTTAAGTTACCTATGGATTGGCTATACTTTAATTCAAGTGTCCATACTTCAATAGGGAGTCAACTCAAGGTCTTTAAAACATGCATAGTTTATGTTTAACAAGTGAAGTAACAAGTTTCATCCACTGTTAAATAAATTAACCTAGATGTAAAACAAACAAATATCAAAATACCAACACTTCAATCATTTTTCTGTCTGGTGTCTTTTCCTTCTGAATTATATGTATTACTTAATTGAAACACAAGAAATCAATTGGTGAAAAAGTTATTTACAATCATCAGGAAATCAACATAACAATGACACATTTACTTTTATTGTGACCACAACGTGAAATTGAAAAATCCTTATATCAAGTTGCTCAGTAGTTTTGTTTTTGTATTAAACTTAAACAGCTGCTGTTACAGATATCACTATACAATACAAAACAAAGAAAATAAAGACTTAAAGCTCTCACAGAACATGAGTCTTTAGGTATATGTGATAAAAGCTGCATTCAAAAAGTATATATATTTTTTTTATTGATTGTTTTTATATTTGGAGTAAATAGAGTAAAAAAGGAAAACTTAAATGTGAATATTGTCCACAAAGTAAGATATTTTTTTGTGGGCAGTTAAAAGTTTAGTTTATTTCTATTAACAAATGAACAAGTTACGATTATCCAGTGTATGTACATAGACTAATTGAAAGCTTTGGAGATGTAGTAAGTGGACCTTTGAGCTTAGATTACTTTGCTACATATAGGTTTTCCAAAATAAAATTTTAAAAAAGTGATTGTACAGTAATTTCCTTGTACAGAGCCCTAAGTTAGGTAATCAGCCCTTTGCTGTAACATTATGGCCTTGAGGATGACGTATTCTTCTCATGCCACCCAGTATCCAAGTGTGTGTCCCGCAGTTGGATGCATAGACAGCCAATTGCTATAAGTAACAGAAAACAGAGTAGCACTGCTTGCCTTTCTTGCCAGTCTTCACTAAACAGCGCGTAACAAGAGTGGACAGGACATGAGTATAGTGAACGCTTAACAAAAGATCTGCAAATGGAATTGTTCAACTCTGCTCTCGGAAAGAACATCACCTTTGTACGTCCTGCATATTTTGTAATAGGTGGTTTTATTGGAGTACCTAATATTGGTTATTACTTTGTCTTTCTCTTTTTCATTTACGTTCTTTCATTTGTGGGAAACACAGTAGTCATGGTCATAATAATGTTGGATTATGCACTGAGAAGTCCTAAATATATTGTAGTTTTCAACCTAGCATTTGTAGATTTGTTAAGTAGCTCTGCTTTGGTGCCAAAGATTCTTGACATCTTTCTGTTTGACCATCGTTATATTTCCTACAACGACTGCTTGACATTCATGTTTTTCTGCTTCACTTTAATTTCGATGCAGGCTCTTAATCTGGTTGCTCTCTCCTATGACAGACTGATAGCTATCCTCTATCCACTGCACTACCAAGTGAAGGTGACCCACAAGGGCATGTTGCGTTTAATTGCTTTTTTGTGGCTCTTTATCATTACTAGTACACTCACTGCAACTGGCCTTATCACCAGGCTTTCTTTCTGTAGATCTGTGGTGATTAACAGCTATTTCTGTGATCATGGACCTATATTCCGGCTTGCCTGCAATGATATTACTCCTAGTCTAGCTATTGGAGGTATTTTACCAATTGTTATTCTTTGGTTTCCGTTAATTTTTATTGTGGCAAGTTACTGCTTTATTGGTTACGCTTTATCAAAAATTTCCACATTCCGGGAAAGAATGAAGTCTTTTAAAACTTGTACAGGCCACCTTTCATTAGTGGCAATCTATTTTTTTCCTGTTATACTGGTAAATAGCATTGGGAGCAAAATACATCCAAATGCTAGAATCATAAACCTGTCTTTGACCACTGTCATCCCTCCTATGTTGAACCCGATCATATATGTTCTGCAGACACATGAAATCAAAGAATCCTTGAAAAAGTTGTTGAAAGTCAGAGGGCGATCCAAAACTACAGCAAAGAATGTAAAACATATTTAGCCTTCAACTTTGTACTGTGCAGTAATAACATCCACTATAAAGTTATAATTTGGGATATTGTTCAATTCCATTATACAATCAGAATTAGTATAAATTAATATAATTTAAGTATAAAAGTACTTTGATAAGGTGAATGTAACATTTACTGTATGTGTATGTAGCTATCTTTACAACAAACATGCAAAATTCATTTACAAACTATTATTTCCGTCCCCCAAAATTTTAAAAAGTAATAGCAGAAAAGCCAACATGCTAAATGTCAATTTTGTGTTTGTTTTGTCTTATTTTAGAAAACTATATGAACAGACAAACATGTTTTTTTTTTTGCTGTTGTTGTTTTTTATTATTGCTGCTGGGCTTTTGAGTTGTATCTCATATAAAAGTAATGTAAAAGGAAGGCAAGTAAATCACTGTGATGTGTACATTTCTATTTTAAGTGTGAATGTTGGTATGTAACTGAAAATGTAATTACCAGCCTACAACAGCTAACAAAGCAAAGCTTTCAATGTGATAACAAAAAACAAACACATTATTTAACTGAAAGCTGCAATTACATACAGATGTACTTATGAACATGTAAAATCAGTAATTTAATCATTCATTCCAAATAGTCTAAGTAATTTGTTCACATCCTGTTTTTAAATCATTCTCATGTTTTACAGTGACAGCAGTGTGCTTCTTTCTTATTGTTAGTAGTTTGATTGGTTGTGCATCTCACTGTGATGGTATTAAAACAGATTTAGAGTTTCATCATTATTGCAGAATTACCTTCTGTTCTTCAGATATTCGATGCAGAGTTATTGTGTGTAGTTGGTTGTCGAATGAGGAGGAAAATATGAGTCTTTAAGAAATACTTTTAAGACCCAGACAGCTACACAGGTCATACTCTTGTCCATACTATACCATATGCTATTATTCAGTGTTTTGTATTTTTACTCTCATTTTTGATGTTTTTCTACACTGTAAGCATAAATCCTTTATAAGGTGTGTGACAAGACATCTGTTCTCCAAAAATGCAAAAATGATCACACTTTTCTACCCAAGACACATCTAATTACTACCTTTTAGAAAAGTACACCATTTTGTATGCAGGTCAATATTTTGATGACAATAAAGAAATTACTTAAATCATTTGTACCAAATGGTTTATTTTAATTGTGACAGGATATAGCACATGTGTTCCTCACAAATCTGTTAAAACATTTTTGTATTTTGAATGTCATGCCACATAGTTTTGTTACATTAAATGGAGCTAATTCATTGCAATGTTTTATTGCTAAATTAGATTTTATCTTTTAATAGCAGAACTGAAAAAAGCAGCAGATTCTGATCACATAATACCAGGTTACTTTACTGTACAATTTTTGAAAGAAGTCTTACTAGTTCAGAGCTACAATAACATTTCCATATTTGCATAGTACTTCAGCACACCACTTGTCAGAACCGCTTGCAGTCAGATGCTGTCGGATAGGCAGGCATATTCCACGAGCACTAAGGTTTTGGCAGTTACTATGAGCCTCTGAAACCGAAAAAATTGTGCAAAAAGGAAAACTTGATATGACAGAAAGTTTTTTTTACTGGAGTTACTGAGTAATAATTTTACATTAAATCAACTGCTGTGATGGAGCTCAGGACTCAGTCTAAGGCCCGCTGCTACCTGATGAATAAACTAACTGTTGCTTTTAAGCTGTCCCTTAGTGAGCCACAGCTCACCTGTCTGAAGTGAAGAAAAATACACCATGTCAATTATAGGTCTTGTTTTATCTTTTACTTATCAGCAGCTCCTACCACCTAATATGCTACTGTCCAGTCTCACATGTATGTCAGATATTACTTGTGCCATACACTATTACTCTCTCCATCACTGTCCTGGGTCAATGTTGCATGTGTATGTCTGAATGAAGCCATGAGTCAGGGAGTGTTCAGGTAAGGGCCCAAGACACTAAAATGGTCGGCAGGTTGTAAGAACACAATGGTGACTTAAATCAAAAACGTACTTAAACAAGGTAGACATGAGAACAAACAAATCAGTGATCTAGAAAAAAATCATCCTTAAGAATGGAAAGAAATCCAAAGGAACAGAATAAAAACAAACAAACATGAAGACACGGAGGGCTGAACAGACAGGCAGGTGTACAGGTGGTAAGCAAACAGGTAGGCAGGCTGGTAATTTGTAAGACAAATAGGGGTACAAAAACAAAATACACAGGCCAGATGCAGGTTAAGAACACAAGGAGAATCCACCAGGTGAACACAAGGGTAGCAAACATGACACTTCAACAGAACGAACTGGTTAAGAACTTAGGAAGAAACAGGGCGACAGATACGTAGTAAACTAAATTGGAGATAAAACACAGGCGATTGTTACAGTTTTACTGAAAGGAGAGTCCACACAAATGAGGCTGAGGAGACTTAGTGAAGATGGTGTTTATTTACAATGATGAAATTACAAGATGAACACTGTGTGCTGGTATAAAAAAAAAAACACCAGGTGAACTTAAACCACCCAGGAAGAGTGAGCAACAAGCAAACTAAAGACTAAGGACACGGAACACTGAAAACCTTGAACACAAAAACTCACAGGAGGCAAGCAACAAATGTTAAAGACATGGTGCTAAACGCACAGTGCTAAGAATCTAATGGAAAAACACAATACACTAATTACCAGCTGAGCTAATTGACAGAATTAAAGACAACCAAAACTGAGTACGACAGGGTAAGAAGAGCTAGGAGTAATACACTGAGGACAATACAAGAATTAATGGGTTAGCAAAGGAAAAACGACACTGACAAAAACAAGATCATGACAAAAGGAGCAGAGTACAAAACAGTTGTACGGTATAGATTTGCATCTTCTTCTTTTTGGTTGTGCTAAACATTGCTTCACTTATTTTCAAGTAAATTTTCAATTCAATTTTATTTAAATAGAACCAATTCATATGTCATCTCATATAGTAAGGTGAAGACTTTACACATTTTAAACAGAGAACCTAACAATCTAAAGTTCCTTTGGATTACGTATAAGCAAGCAGTCAGCTACAGTGGGAAGGAACCAACCCCCACCTCACTCCCTTAAAACGGAGGATAAAAAAAAAAAAAGCAACCTCAGACAGAACCAGGCTCAGGGATGATGGCTATCTACCTCGACCGGTTGGGGTGAGAGTGGGAATGAGGGGGGTGGGGGATAGCAGGAAGAGGTTGGGGTGGGTATGGCAGGGTAACTGATGGAGAACAGACTGACAATACAAAGAGAACAATGGACATCATGGAGGTCGGCAAGGCCAGTGACTGCAGATCAGAGACGTATAGCTCCAGATCCAGAGACACCCGCAGAGAGAACAAACACAGAACTTCAGGCAAAGACAAAGTTAGTTCCATGTTATGGTAGTGTATAACTGTATGGAAGAAACAGAGAGAGGGGAGAGGTGCTCAGTGCATCATGGGAGTCTACAACAGAATAACTGAGGGGGGCGTCAGGCGATCCTTATCAAATCAAGTGTGTCATTTTGCTGTATATACAACAGTAGTACAAACAAGCAGTTCGGCATTCTGACAGCTTGTGGAAAGAAGCTGTTGATCAGTCTGGAGGTTCATTCTTTTAGTGCTCCGCAAACATTGGCCTGATGGCAGCAGTTCAGACAGTTTTTGGAGAGGGTGTGAGGAGTCCCTGACAATGTTCAGAGTCCTGCTCCTGCAGCGGCTCTGGAAAAGTTCAAAGCCTGTCTGTCTGTCTGCCAGGAACAATGTCATCTCCTCCAGCTGTATGGCTGTCTGGATGTTGTCATGGAGCCATGTTTCTGTAAAAGCAAACTGTCAAGTGGAGTCAGGTTTTGAGATCCCAGACACAGCCACTAACAAAGAACTCTGGCCCTGCTATAAGCAATATAAAAGACTTGAATGATTTGAAGTATTATGTGCTGTACTGCAAATGTGATGATTGAGTGTTTAAAGTAATGATTCTTAATCAAGCCATATATAACCAGATAATCAGTAGTGTTAGAGTTAAGCTGATAAATTCTATTAGTAAGAGTTAGGGAAAGTTTCCAGAAGAGTTCAAATGCAGGGACAGATGTGTATATAAGGGCAGTGTCCTTAAAAGCAGGGTGAGGCAGGACAACTCGTGATAAGCTGTTAGTCACCGGAGGTTAGCAAGCTGAGCTCATTGCTAAAGTAGCCATGTTCCTCTTTTGGATAAACAGAGGTTTGTCTTTTTGTAAACAGATGGCTCTTAGACTTCCTGTGCTTGCCATTCTATGTTCGTTCCGGTCACCAAAAATGGAGAAAGAGTGTTACACTAAAAAGTGCAACACCTTATGACTGTGTGTGTAGCAAGGTATGTGTGTCTTTCATGTGTACTGATAGTGTGTATCAGCAAGTGTGTATTATTAGTAATCGAACACTGTGTTTATGGGAGAGAGAGCTGTAGAAAAAGTATAAAAGTCACAGACAGAGAGATCGCCCGGGGATGACAGAGAGCACAGCTGGACGTCAACCTGCATAGAAGACTGAGGGACGCATCGGGAGCACTTAGAGTTCTTAGAACACTTCTCAGTTGACTGTGTGCGCAAGGAAGGAGCTGCAACAAGACTGCAACACATCTGAAGAGGAGCGGCAGAACCCCTTTCTGTGTTCTGCCTGAAGAAACATCTTCGCCTCGTCGTCCAACGGAAATCCAAACAGACTGCAGTTCTAAATCGGAGTTGCGACTCCTCGTCTCCCCCTGACTGGAGGACGTCACCTGCACATCGGTGCCCTGTACAGGGTAGCTGCTCTGCTGGTAGGGTGTCTATCTTGGCTCAGGACAGGACAGAGCTGAGTTGATCAGTACTGGCCAGGCTGTTAGGCTCTCTCTCTCTCTTCAAATTAAGTATTTTTGTGATTGATTGTAGTTTAAAGGAGCACAGACTATTATTTTCTTATTATTTTTAGGTTAATCAAGTTTAAATCAAATGAATGATCAATTATGTGTGAATAATCAAAATGCTGATCCTTGGCCCATGCTAAAGATTTGCAATAAAAATATAATCCTGCATTCAAAGACAATACTGACTAAAAAAGTTTATTGAAACACTTCAAGTATCCGATGGTGGTAAAAAGTTAGACTATTGTGTGCATAACATCTTTTAAAGGTTCTTAATGGTTATTCTAAGTCAAGAGTGAAATAGAGTATTTAAACATATCCCTGGGGTTAGTAATGCCAAACCTCTAAATCAATCCTAGCAACTTACCAAGTGCTCGTTCCCTTCAGAGGAAAGCTGCCACTGACAGGCGTGTCTGGTGGGTGATTCGACTATTGAGGCTACTTAGTGGGGTCACCTATTAGAAGAAGCGGGGTAGGCGTCTGGATTAAGGCAGTTAGAAGCTAGGCGAGTTTCCTCGACACCAGCTTAAGCAGTTCCATGAGAATCCTATTAGGTCAAGGGCCTGTAGGCAGTCAGAACTTAGCCCTAGTAACGGAGAGCTGGACCAGTACCCCTGTACGGGGTAGTACCGGTGCGGAATGACAAAACACACAGCAGTCTATCCGCTCTTTGTGGGTTTCTCTCAGCAAATGTAGCTCGTCCAGCTTGTTGTCGAGGGAGAGGACATTGGAGAGTAGGAGCGATGGTCCTGCTGTCTGGAGGGGTTATCTTTTAGCCTAGCATGGATCCCGGCTCTCTTCCTCCCCCTTTGTTTACATTCATATCGTTTGTGCTTCCTTCTCTCTCGGGCGCCACAATTTTAGCAAAGTTCATTGCCCTCGTGTTCAGCAAAGTCTCTTGGCTGTAGGTTTTGCGGCATGAACATCTGGGATAGGCAAGACACTCAAAACTTTCACTCTTGCTGTTTCCTGAAGGAGCCGCTGCGTCCATGCGTGCCGCCATCTCCTTAGCAGCCCTAACTAAGTTTTATCAAAGAGGAAAGCTTTAGGCCTAATCTTAAAAGTAAAGAGGGTGTCTGCCTTCTGAACCCAAACTGGGAGCTGATTCCACAAAAGAGGGGCCTGATAACTGAAGGTTCTGCCTCCCATTCTGCTTCTGGAAACTCTGGGAGCCACAAGAAGACGCTAATACGGAAGAAATATGATCTCTCTTATTGGTTCCTGTCAGAACTTTGGCTGCAGCATTCTGTATTAGCTGGAGGTTTCAAAGAGAGTTATTGGGACATCCTGATAATAAGGAGCTCCAACAGTCCAGCCTGGAAGTTACAAATGCATGGACTAGTTTTTCGGCATCACTCTGAAACAAGATGTTCCTTATTTTAATGATATTACTTCGATGAAATAAGGCCATCCTAGACACGTGCTTTATGTGTGTGTTGAATGACAAATCTTGGTATAATGACACATTTCAGTAGAATTATTGTTTTTCATAACTTCTTAACACTAAACGCATATATACAAGCATTAAATTTATAAAGGTGTTTACAAAATCATGATCATTGATTTTGAATTGTGTTAACAATCTCACTCTTTCTTTCAGAGTTGTGGTGTTAAATAATGGCCAGAAAAAGGGCTTTTACAGAACATTATGATATCGCATTAAAGATGACCTTTGGGATGTAAAATACATTCACTACATCATTTTAGTTTGACATTTGGGCATTTGAGTATTCCGGTGACAATAATTCACACAGTCAGTTGCATCAGCTGAATGATGACATAAACCGCGAGACAGAAGCTGAAGCATATCATTGTCTACTTCATGGTCATGTGACACAGCTGCCTGCATTTCTTGTGCCTCACAGTGGATTAGGTTAAACATAAATAACAGTCTCTCAGGTCCCAATTCACTTTGGTGCACTGCACACTTGATAGTGTCTGAGGTGAGTTTGACTACATCAATTTTTATCAAGCAACTTCATTGTCTTTTAATACAAACACTGTTTTTTGCTCTTTTTCCATGTAGGGAAACAGATATTCGTAATGGACCTAGAGGAGAAATCCAGCAGAATATTAAATAACACCTTTGTTCGCCCTGCACAATTTTATATCAGTGGGTTTTCCAACGTCCCTCATGCTAAGTATTACTACGTCTTCTTGTGTTTTGTCTACATCATGACTGTTCTTGGGAATGTCTTTCTCCTCTCAGTGATTTACCTGGTGAAGACTCTTCATACTCCAAAGTACTTGATTGTGTTCAACTTGGCTTTTACAGATTTGTGTGGCAGCACTGCTCTCATCCCAAAACTCTTAGACACGTTTTTGTTTGACAACAGATACATTGTCTATGAGGCTTGCTTAAGTTATTTGTTCTTTGTCTATGTCTTTGGATCTGTGCAGTCATGGACACTTGTCACTATGTCATATGACAGATTTATAGCTATTTGTTTTCCTTTAAGGTACCACAGTCTTGTGACTACACCAGCGATTGTTGCAATGCTGCTGTTTA